GGATGGAGAATTGGGGGGCTCTGGGGACCCACTGTGATCGCTAGCTCAGAACAGCCCTCTTCTGCACCCTGCTTGTCTCTGGGCGCTGAGCCAACTGCAAATTAGGAGTCAGCCTTTCAGGCTTCCATCTAATTCTTTTCCTTGCCTGCATTCACAGTTGTGGAGACGTTTAGTTGTTTGCAGTAGCCTTGAGTCATAGCACTCTTAAAAGTTGATGTGTTCCCCATGGTATTTCTGTGTGCAGAGGAAAGGCTACTAATACTGAGGTAAACTTTCCCCTCAGTTGATGTCTACTAACAGGTGCGAAGGAGAGCAATTTAAATTAAACTTCCATCAGCATGGTTTGTATTTAGAACAAATAAGATGTATGAGATACTGAGCTGTAAGAAACTGATATTTTAGGCTCATCAGTAATAGGAGGAATGGTGTTCAGGAACAAAGTTCTGTCAGTGAAATATAATAGGTACAGTTCTTTTATGAGGTAGGAATGTACAAATAGAATCACAATACCATGAAATTCGTGCAGGAAATTCCTTCTGGGCAGTAAGTAACCACTGATCTTTAAATAAAATGGGATATCAGAAAACAATTCACCTCATAATACAGAAAATAACATAATTTTGTTCCTGTTATGCTTTTCAACTCTATCTTTTGCTCTCTATGCTGTGAAACAAAAAAGAAAAAAAAAAAAGGGGGGAAAGAATACATCTTGTAGCTGTGTGCGAGGCAGTAAGTTATTTGAGTTTCACCAGATTTTTAAATAATTGTTCTTCAAAAGCAAAATATATATGTTCGGTAAGCATTTAGTAATGCTAAGTATCTTTTTCCTTCATCTCAAAGTCTTGACAGTTCATTTTCTTTCTTCCTCCCTAATTCTTGGGATATTAAGGAAATATCATTACAGATATGTGTTTAAATAACCCAACAGGATAGCTGTGTTTTCAGGTCTGAAAAACTTTTACTTTTCTTACTCTTAAATTTCTCATTATGGAGGAAAGAGAATGGCATTAGGTCTATGTTAGAAGTTTTCTATTAGACACCGGAAAGAGAAATTAATGTTGTGTGCATTCCTGTGTATGTGAAATGAAAGTCAAATTCCAGTCAGTGTTGAAGCAATGTAATTCCATTGTCCAAATGTTTATGGAAACAAAGAACAAATGGCACTCCAATGCACCCTTTGCCTCTGAGGAAAATCTTCCTGTTACACAGAGGTCTGAGAAACTATTTTGTTCAAAGTGAAAATGGTGGAGAAATTTGCTTTTGTTTCACACCTGCAATGTTTACTATTACTTTGAGGCCCCAGTATTGTAGATTGCCCAGGTTCATTCAAAGTTCACCTGAAAATTTATTAACTCTGTGGAATTCATTTTTCTATACAGGGTTTATGCATCTTTACTCTGATATCTTAATAAGTAAACCTGATTTTCATGTGTATGTATACCCTCCCTTTCCCAGCTAATTCCTAATGAAGTGCTAATTCCTAGTTTCTTAAGATGTCATTATCAATCAAATTCGAAAGAAGTTTTTGGTTTAGGTGTGTATACAGAAGGGTGTATATTGGAAATTCCTAGCCCCATGTTCCTTTCTGCTGTCATATAATCAAAGTTTTAACTTAAGCTGCCAGTGTAAAACTTGTAAGCAGTAAAACCTGAACAGTGTAGATGGGGGGTGGGGAAAGGGAATATTAACTGCTATACCAACACCAAGGCTTCTGGAAGGAATTTGAGTGAGCACTGAGAATGTAACAGAACACGACCAAAATGTGGTTTGTAGGTTGGGTTTTTTTTAAGATCAGCAGTGTGGATTTGAAGACTTTGAGAAGAACGTTTTAATCGGGATTTGATACTAAAACTAACATTGACATGCTCTATTAAGAGCATGAATTTTCTTGTTGATGGTAAAAGCTGTCTTAGCTTAATTTTAGAGTGAAATGAATCTGCCATTTCCTTATCCTCATTTAGGAGGTTGCTGTTGGATCAACTTGGAGATGGTTCATTATTTGATTATGTATCATCTTGGCTTGGGGATCTGATCAAATGTGATTAGCCCAATAATGCTATTAATTAATTGATTTAAGGATTTGATTTAAATTACAGTTATGACAAGGACAGTTATATCGTTCATCTCCTGGTTCTTATAAAAGTAAGCAGTACTTCAGGCTTAAGCATTAGGCTTACTATGCTTACTATATTTTAATTTGGCTTATTTAGGCTTTAGTAAAAACCATCATAATAAAGATAGTAGGGGGTTTTGTATTTTTTTCAGCACTGTGGGTTTAAAGGGAGGAGGCAAATTACTAGATGACCTGGAAACTGTTTGGTGTGTCCACAAAGCTGAAGTGTTTGTCACTTAGGGAAGGCATTCTGCTTAAAGTAAACTTCAAAATAATCAGGCTGTCTTGAATTTTATAAGTAATTCTTGGTGTTGATATTTTCTATCAAAGCTTCTTATAGCTCACTGATTTTTAAGTAGACTTTGAGAAAAATATTAATCCATAAAGGAAAAAAAGTCCATGAGAAGTAAAACAGTTTTTACTCACACACAGTTAGGAGTGGATTGTCATAGAAATGGTTTGTGTGATATAGAGGAGAGCTGCTCATCAGGACACTCGTGTGTGGTCTTCTGTTAATCAACGTCACTTTAATTTCTGTTGAAATGGCTGAAGCAACTGCATACTTTAATTATCCATACAATTGAGGTACTGCAGAGTGGTTCTTCTGTGCTGTTTTAATTAATTTTTAAGACGTTCCTGGATTTAAAATAACTACCTGTTGGAACTGCAGTAGTTCAGAAATCCCACTGTAGGCAGCATGGGATTCCTGAGGCCAGCAGTTCAAGTAATTTTGATGTGCACAGGATTCTAGATGTAGAGTATCAAAGTATCTTTTCCCATGTAGCTCCAGATCACGTGATGAACTGTCGGGTAGCTCAGGAGTGAGGATGCAAACAATTGATGGCAGGCCTGGCTCACCCAAGCCTTCACACAGTTATCTGGTTTGTTAAAAGAAGTTGCTGTATCTGTACTTCCAGAGGAGCTAGCTACGAGTCAGGCTCCCTAAGGATTGCAGTTTTTATGCTGACACTTTATGTAACACTGGTTTCAGAGTAACGGGTGTTAATGCTGAATATTGTCTGCATTGCTCTGATAACGACATCAGAAAAAAGCACGCTACAAATGTGTTTGTCTAGCCAGAGAGAGCTGTGGTTATTTCCTGTCTGTCGGGAGCATATTATTAAAATAAAGCCTCTCCATTCCAGGTCTGGTATGAATATCTGATCTAGCCAAATTTATGCATCTCTCTTCACGTAATGGAAGGAGTTTTAAGACTAAGGCTACACAGCGCAAATCAGATGCAGTCTTTCTCCAGATGAGAAAAATTCAAACCTCTTTGGGAGTCATTTCACTCTCTGTAAGCTTGAATTTAGCACTGTGTCAGTGTCCATAAATCTCTCACTTTCTGTGTTTGGGGGAAAAAAAAAAAAAAAAAAAAAAAAAAAGAGCTCTGCCCTATGTCTGATTAACAAGTAAATGTAATGTTTCTAATTGTTCTTCTGAAATGAGATTTTCTGCTTGAATGAACAGCTACGTTTATTAAAATGTTTCGAAGTCCCTAAATGAGGTGGTTAGAATTAACCAGTGCTGTCCAGTAACAATAGGCCTTCCAGTTAGATAACAGACAGAAAAAGAGTATTAATCATCCTAAGGCAAACCTGAGAATCCAAGTTCTCAGAAAGGTCACTTATCTGTTTTTAATGACTAGATTCATGCAAGATTAAAATGATGTCCTTTTAAACTGAAAAAATAACATTCTCCAAACTGACTTTGCATTTTTTCCCTGCTCCACCAAAATTCAACTTAGTAGTCCATAGTCACATGACATGGTTGATTATTCAGATTTTTGAGGGAAAGCAGTTTACAATAGAGCAAATAAGAAAATTTAGAAGCTGCATTTGCGAGCACTGAAGACAATTGCACAGAGAAGGGCATGTTTGATTTTTGCTTCTCCTTATACAAGGCTTTTGGGAAAGGCTTGACTTCCATAAGTGAATTGTCAACTGCTTGAAGACAGATCTGTTGTAATATGTTGAACTTTTACATCCTGTGCTCAACATCATGTAGCATAGAATTATAAATTACAACCACTATATTCTGATTTTTATCTCAAATATTAATATATACTTTTCTCCATAGTCTTAGGGAACTGATCTCACTAGTAGTCATAAGATGGTTATAATGCAACTTTCTGCACAGTAATTCTACAAATTTGGGTGAAGTTACAGCTCTGCAGTGCTAGCTTTGATGTAAGCACAAGAAGTTTACAGTAACTTGTCTCTGTGTTATGAAAATTAGCCTTTGCTTGGGACTAATGCATCTGTCAGGTCACAAGAACCCAGAACTTGTGAAGATCTCCTGAGCTGCTGAATATTCTTCATGACACTGAGCCATGTCAGGTCACAGTCTGTCTCATAAACTGCCCTGTCTCTTTTTACAACTCCTGTTGAAAGGTTCTCAAGGCCTTTATCATATGCTCAGGGAAAGTTCTCCTGTGAATAGGCTTATTTACTCGATCCGACCAGTGATGAAGAGCCTAATTCCTATGTATCTTGTCCCACTTCTACACTGATGTAAATCTTCTCATTTTAAAATATTTATTGCAATACAAATGAGGCAAAATCAGCATGAACACATAACCCAGTCGTCGTAAAGTAGCAGTAATGGCAAGCAGAGACCAATAGTAGAGAGTGTGTCACAAATTCACTAGCTTTCTTTAATCAGTGACTTTTTATGGTTACTTCCTGGGTGAAAGAGGGTTTGATACAGTCTTTGAGAGAGCATTTGAGGATTCATGTAGATCTATGGCAGTGAGACTAAAATGACAAGAATTTGTGTTGGAAAATCAGGCTTACTGTGTTTTATCAGCATTCTGATGTTTTACCAGCCTTGGTTTCTTTGTTTTTTCTTTTCACTCCCTCCCCCCTTCCCTTCTTCTGTACAACAGGGATTTGGGAAACAAGTGGATGTGTCGTACATTGCCAAACATTACAACATGAGCAAAAGCAAAGTTGACAACCAGTTCTACAGTGTGGAAGTAGGTGATTCAACCTTCACAGTTCTCAAACGCTACCAGAACTTGAAACCTATTGGCTCTGGGGCTCAGGGAATAGTTTGGTAAGTATCAGCAGTTTCTCTTATGCTTTTGAATAGTATTTGCCTTTTGCATTTCTTCACAGTTCGCTACCCACAGACATAGTCTAAAATTGCAGAAATAACAGTCAGGCAACAGACATCCTGAGGCAGAAGGAGCCTAGTGGTTTGCTAATAAATTCTCCTGCTGGTAAGAATGATAGCACTAGGTTTGTTTTGCCACATAGCAAAATGTAACTAGCAAGAAAATGGGAGAAAGATCTTAATCATAATTGACAACTGTGGCACTACTTTTAGAGGCAGCGCAAACCCTGTAATTTTAATCTTTGTACAGTAAAAGTCACTGAGAGCAATATAAAAACTTGTCACATCCCAAAGCACTCTCAAGTATTCATAATGGAAGCTTTCCGAACTGAGGTAACTGCTCATGTTTCGTTTCTTTCTTAAAAGAGACGTTGCAGTGATGCATATAATACGAACAAAAGACACAAATTCAGTAGGTCTCCTAAATAATACAAAAGTATGGAATTAAAAAATATTATGTTCAGAAATTATGCTTGGTTTTTGCCTCTGCATTTTTAGAGATGGCTCTTAAATTTCAGCAGCTTCTATTTATTATATCTCTGTGCAGGCTGATTGTTCCTGTTTGTGTTTGCAAGGCGTTAGGGTAACTAACACAATTTTTTTATCTATGACTTGATCAGAGATGAAGTCTAATTCCATCTGTCATCTTTATCACTGCTCTTTTCTGACTTTGCTGTACTGTGCCTTACCTTACAGTTTGAGGCAGTGGTAAAGCAACAAGTTCCTTTAATCTAGGGGCAAGGGGGATTCCATGGATCATTGACACTATAACTGACAGCTAACGGCAATTAGCAACACATGCTCATCTCAGTGTGGCACCTCCAATGTTTTAGTATACTTTGAAGCCACACAAGTCCAAAGATTGATCTAAATGTTCAAGTACTTTACTTCATATCTTAAATGCAAAAGCACTACAGCTTAGTTTAAAATCAGCTTTGGGAAAGAAACACACTTGTGTTGAGTACTATTAATACTCATTTTGCACAATTTGTCCATTTCCATGTATAGCAACAGATTTTTTTTTCTTCCTACCTACTATCTTCTATTTGTTTGAGAGAAAAATCAGATTTTGTTGAACCTCTCTGCGACTGAATTGCTGTAATGATCAATTATGAGCAGCAAAAAGCCATAGAAGTTAAGCTAAATAAAATCATTAACATCCTGTGAATTAGTCTTTCATACTAAGAGTTGACAGGTAAAAATTAAGAATTGTCTTAGGAAAGAAAATCAAATCAGAAAACACGTAAGTTCAAGTGAAAGTTAACACAAATCCCCTAAAATGACTAAGCAGCATGGAGAAGCCATAAAAGGCCTTTTACAGTTTGATGATATGGATATATCATGTAATCTATCATTACATGATAGATATGGAAGGTAATGAGCATTTTTGGTTAGTTTGTCTTATGTTGTAATCTACTTGTCATGAGGCATAATTTATCAGAAAACATTAACAAACTGAAGAATCAATGGTGAAGTGATAAATTAATTAAAAGAGAGATATAAATATATATGTAGCATAGCTAAGGGAAGGCAATACATCATTAAAAAAATCAGTTGTGTAAGTTTCTACTTGTGTAATAATAATTATACATTAATAAGTCTACATAGTAAATTTAAATAGTGTTAAGTTTCTACTGTAGAAACTTACACTATTTAGAAACGATCAGTATTTTGATGGATATAGGGTTGCATCTAGAAAAAGCAGATTAATTTAAAGGAAAAAATATACTGAAAAAATGCTTATTTGTGGAGTGCTGCTGGCTCTGGTGGGGGAGGTATTTTGCTCTGCTCATCTTGTTCTTTCGCAAAGAATAGCCATGAGGAGTACCTCTATGAAAACAGTGGGTAAAACCTAGGTCGTAGTTTCTTTTAGGTCTAGGATGTAGTTTCTTTTAGATCTAGTGGCTCTATTTACGCTTACTGACTTCTTGTTTGAGAAGCATAACAGATGTGGGATGCAATTATGTCTCTTAGTGCCAGAACTAGCAGAAGGGCCTGATGGGTGATTTCTGTTTGTTCCGTCTAGCAAGGGCAGACACAGGTAGGATAGCTCAGAGGGGTTTAAGCTCAGACTTCTCAAGTCTTTATGGAGTGATAGAGTATTATCGGTAAATGTTAACGACCCTTTCAGGCCTGAGCTGCTGCCAGCAGTTGCAGCCAGTGGCCTGCTTCTTGACTAGTCCAGATTTTTACATCTTGGCAAGTACAGTCTATGCTGTCCTCCCCATGCTGGAAGAGCTGAGCAGCTGATGACTTTTCTGCTTTGTCTAGTACTTGGCCACACAACTGTAATTCCCACATCTTGAGAAAGAGAGGTCTATTTAATAATGGATATTTCAATAATATGACATCAAATCTCTCAGTACCAGTCAGGTGCAAGATACTCCATTCTAAGGACTGCCTCAGTACCAACTTCAGGACCAAACTCCTCTTGCTAGCAACAGCTTCCCTCTTAACTTTGATGTGAGATGCCGCCCCATGCCCAGCATGCTGGTTGACTTAGCACCTTGCCATGTAAACTTGGACAGGCAAACTCTCTGCAGCCCAAGAAGTAACTGTAGAGGCAGAGGGAAGTGAAGGAGAGACATGATGTTTTTCAGGCTGCTCTGGAAGCTGGTGTTGCAGGGTTCCTAGGCAAAGCCACAGAGTACTGAAATCTTTCTCATACAGTTCTACAAATAGATGTCAATATAAGCAGGAGAATTTCAGTGGAAAACAGTTCATGTTGTGGAGCAGAAGACCAGGAAAGTGGTTATGAAAGAATCTGAGACCTGATTTCACTTGATTATTCTGAAAAATTACATCAAAGACAAAATCATTTTCTTGATATGGAAGCATTAAAGATATGAAGGTCTTCAGGGGATAATAATTTATTAAATTATGTGAAAAGGATAAAGCCATATGATGTGAGTGTTAGTTACAGTTGTCATTGTGCCCATGTGAAATAATTATACACTCCGTGAGAAAGTGGTATTGGCTGTAGACAGAGTGCATTCAGTGTCTTCAGAAATTAATTGTGGGAGCTTTCAATGGGATTTGTGTTAACCATGTTCATAAAATCATTTTTGCCAACAGGAATAAAGGAAAAGCTGCTTTGAAACTCTTGAGCAGGGAAGTTCCTCTTCACTCTGCAAAAACTACTCTTAATGCAAGTGTAGGCTGCTTGCTCACTGTACATCACACTGACATCTGTGAGAAAGACTGTATAGGGTGTGTTTGCATAAAATTATCATGTTGTTACAGGCATGATGACAATGGGACACAGCTGAAACAGAGTTGTTCATTAGACCAGGGTGCAGTTGTAAAAATTTATACAGGCTTTTAACTACAAAAGTTGATCTTCAAGTGTGTGATAGAAATAGAAAATGTCAAAGGTAAAATGAGTTGCAAACAGTTTTCTGAGTTTAATTAGATGTGTGCCACTTCAACCACTGAGAAGAGAGGTAGTTGATACCCCCCTGCAATGTTAGAAGGGAGCTGACAACTACAAGGGGGAGAGAGACTTCTTCCAAGCTTGCGGGAATGGATGGTTTAGGTGAGGGTAGAGGGAGAGGAATTCTCGTGTTCCATAAAATCAACAGAAATATGCTGATGTTGGAGTGGGTGTTTCTTTGTGTTTTAAATGAATGATTTTTGCCTGGAAGCAAGGCAATTGATCTGCAGGTTTTCTGCTGTGGTTTGCAAACTATCGTTTTTTATATTGCCTGTGATATTTTTAATGCTGCCTGTGATGCCTAGAAAAATGATGTTGCACAGGAGTATTTCAAAAGCAATTTGAAGAGGCTATGATAGCTTCTGTATTTATGATGGAAGCAAGGGGAAGTCCAGTTTTCCATGGCAGGTAGTAAAGACATCACTTACAGGCTTGAGGATACAAGTAATTAAAATCTTAGAAGCAGCTTATGAAGACATCTGGCTTGGTTTATGACCACAGTGGTGCCTATACCTGTGTGCATTATCAGGAGAAACTTGGCTGGGTGTGTATCAAATAGATGAGTCTGATGATGTCTTTCAGCTGAAATCCTGAATGTTTGTTATTTTCTTAAGAGTGAATACAGGCTTTCATGCTGTATGATGTTGGGATGTGGTTCTAAAATTTTTGTATCTTGGAGTAGTGGTTTGGGGGGTGTGTGTGTGTGGGTGTGTGTGTGTGTGTGTGTGTTGTGTTGAGGAAATGTTGAAGAGTCCTTGTGGCTCTTCAGTGAACACATACATTTAAAAAGATATCTCATCTGCAGATATGGAGAAGACTATAAATACATTCTTGAAGTAGTAAATTGGGCAATTTGTTGTGTGTTTTTTTCCTTGGAATTAGTGATTTGATGACATCTTTGAGCTTGAATATGAAGGAGATGGTAGAGTCTTTTTGTGTTCCCTGAAACAGGTAGAGTCAGCAAGTCAACTGGTAGCTTGCTATGTTACCTAAGGTTCTCCTTCACTGATTTCACTGAAATTTGGTGGTTGAATCTTAAGGACGGCAGAGTTCTTTCAAATCAGCAAGTTGTGATCGTCAGCATGATGGTCCTTGTTGTGGCTTAACTGCTGATTCTTTCCCTGAAGTAATCGTGGAACCACAAAATCGTTTAGGTTGGAAAAGACTCTTAAAATCATCAAGTTCAAACGCTAACCCGGCACTGTCTGCCACTAAACTGTGCCCCTGAGTGCCATGTCTACATGTCTTTTAAATACCTCCAGGGATGATGACAACCACTTCCCATAGCGTTCAGAGGTGGGAGGAGGAATGCGACAGATATTGCCCACTACAAGATGTCCAGTATGAAGGTTTTTTTTGTTGCCGTTCTCCTTGGAACTATCATAGGGGAGTGTCCTGTTGTGTCATGATACTGGTAATGGAAGATCTGTTAAAATGGGTTTGACTAAAACTCCCTCTAATTCTTTACATATTCATGCATTATATATGCTAAGACAATTATCATAAG